GGTTGAGGTCATGGGAGCCTTGCCCTCCCGTCGACCCTGCCGCTTTTCCTCATCGGCCTTTCGGAACCACTCGGCCAAGTTCTTGACGAGCGGCAGTCGGTGAGACTGTGGCGGTAAGTGTTGTGCCCCGAACACCACTTGTCCGCCGACCGGCCTCCGCCGGAGGGGGTGGTGGAGCTCGGCTTATCGCCGGTAATCTTTCCTTTGCGCGGGGCCCACGTGGGCCCTCTGCCGCAAGGACATGGCCCTCGTCATCGGAACGGGCCGGTTTCCTCTTGCCTCTCCTATCTCGCCGCTTAGAGCGAGGGGCAGACTCGGGGGCAGCCGCAGCCGCCGCACCGGTGCCAGGAGAGTTCCAGGCCCACGCCTCCTCCTTCCGGGCCACCTTGTCCGCCAGCTCGAAGAGCTCGGCGGTGGTCTTGGGCTCCTTGGAGGCGATCTTCTCCAGCATGCGGTTATGCCGCACGCCGTTCCGGAATGCATACACTACTGCGTGGGCTGGAATGCACGGTATGGTGTGGCGGACCTGGCAGAAGCGCTGTATATACGAACGGAGGGACTCGTCGTCCTTCCGCCGCACAGCATGCAGGTCCGCTTCTTCCCCCGGGCAGGGATATGTCCCCTAGAGGTTTGTGACGAACTGCTGGCATAGATCCTCCCAGGAGTGAATGGAGTCGGGGAGCTGGGCCATCAACCAGCCACGCGCCTGACCCTTAAGGGCCATGGGAAAGTAGTTCGCCATAACCCGGTCGTCACCCCCTGCCGCCACGATGATCGTGGTGTAGATTTGGAGGAACTCGGAGGGGTTGATGCTGCCATCATACTTCTCCGTGAGATTGGGGCGAAACTTCGGGGGCCACCAGACATTCTGGAGACTCGCAACGAAAGCCCTACAACCTGCCCCTCCCAGGGGTGAGCGTGGGGGGAGGGCCGCCTCGCGAAGAAGAGCGCGGCACTCCAGATGAGGAGGCACCTTCCCCCATGCGGGTAGCCCGGCGCTCGTCCAGGCGTCGCTCGATGTTGACCCGAGCATCCTGCGCCCCGTAGAGGTCATCATGACGCCTCCGCCTTCCCGAGACCTCCGATGTCGTTGGAGCCGTGGATCGCCTCAAGGTTGTGGCCGATCGACGGGCCCTTCTCCTCGCCGACGAGGAAAGGGTAGCCGGGGTACTCGATGTACCTGTGGCGGTGGATTGGCCACCCGTGGCCAACTGCCGCTGGGCAGCGGTGACCAAGTTGGCCACGTCGTCCAGCCAGCGCCGCACGGGGGTCTCCGGCTCCGGGTTCACCTGGGGATGCCGCAGAAGGGCGCCCACCACCTGAAGCGCGCCTTGGGGCGAACCACCGTCTCCGTAGTCGAGACGGCGACGTGCTCCGACGCGTCGCGACCTCCCTCCTCCTGGGGGCGGGGAGAGGGCCGTACCGCTTGAACGGGTTGGATCCTCCCTCCGCGAAGGCTCGCGGCGGGGAGGACTTTGAGAGCCATGGCGATGGTGACGAGGGTCACGGTTTTCGCCCGAATCCCCACTCCCAGACGGGGTGGGGGTAGGCGCCACCGCTTCCTCTGCTTCCAGGACCTCGACCATGGCGGTCTAGGGCCTGGTCCGACCTGGGACGGAAGGAAGCGACTTCTTCTCAAACGCGCAACTGCCCCCTACTTGGCGTGCCAGCTGTCGAGGGAAGACCCCCGATCGCGGGGAGTCGCGTGACCCCCCTTTCGTGAGTTCGGCCGGGGGCAGAGACTCGTCTCTCCGAAGTCGCGTGTTCGTCCCTCCGATCCCCGATTAGCTAGCACACAAATGGATTACCTAGGTTCAGGCCGCTCTGGAGCGTAATACCCTACTCCTACGTTTGGGATTATCAGTGAATTTTAAAAGGTTTCCCTCGCTCCCCCTCTTTTTGGTGGGCAAGGTCCTCCTTTTATAGCTTAAGGGGATACCATATGCGCCGTCTCTACCCTCCCCCTCCATCGGAGGGAGGGGAGGGGGCCCTTCTCCCTACTGCGACCGGGTTTCAACCCGTGCCTTTTGTTGGAAGCTAAGCATCGGTCGGTCCTTGAGTGGGGCCCAGCGCCGTCTCCCGCCTGACACGGGGGGCAGCCCTGTCATTCCCTCATAAACGAGGGAAGACTTGCGGCAGCCCTGCATCAAACGCCGTCCGGATGTGATGGGGCGTACCTACCGCCACTCCGCGGAGACAGAGGCGACGTGGGGGCACGACCGCCCGTCCAATCGGCCGTGACCGGCAATAGACTGGTCACAGACCGGTCGCATCCGACTGACAGGGGTCGGTCGGGCGCACCGCACGTCTGCCCCCGCCGCATTGAATGCAGCGAGGGACGGTTGGGGCGCTGCACATTTATGGCCGCCCAGCCTGGACTCCCCTCTCACACTTCCCCCCGAGAGAGGGCCTCGGGGTAAAACGACGGGAGAGCCCGAGGGGGTGACGTCACCCCCGAGGGGATGTCGTCGACCCCCGAGGCTCTCCCCTTCGCCTTAGTGACTCACGAGGTATGTGGGTGGGACCAGCTCGCGGAGCCGTGTGGCTGGAAAGGGAAGTAGCTCTCCTTTACTCCACATACCCCCGGGCCTATATCTCCGACAGATGTGATAGGGTGTAACATTTTTGTGCAGGAAACATGACCTTTGTTTTTAAGACCGGATGGAGCACTTTGTTAGGCGGTTTGGGAGTTTGGAACTTGTGCAAAACGGTGTGTTTTAAAAATTAAAACCATTGCTCTCGTACATACCAGATATTTATAACTAACGGTCGAGAAGTTCAAAATGTGTCCAAAGGTTGAGAAGTTTAAAATGTATCCAAATCAACATATTTTCAATATTTGAGGGAGTAACGTGATATAAGACCATATATTTATAACTAATGGCCGATAAGTTTAAAATGTGTCCAACGGTCGAAAAGTTTAAAACAGGTCCGAAGTCCGAACCTCGTGTTTCAGGATATCTACAACGAATGCTTGGGTCGGGACGTAAGGTTAAGGGCTTGTTTGGTTGGTGCCCTCAGCTGCATGCCTGAAGAAAAAGTGCTGCTTGAAATCTCCCTGAGATCTTGATGTGTTCGGCCTGATCAGGCAAGCCTGAGATTACTCTGTTTGGTTGCAGGTCTGAGGTCAAGCGTGCCTGAGCTGAAAACACAACCATTGAATGACGTTTATTATGTGAACAAAGCGTAAAAATATAATACGTATTCATTTTACAAAAGTAATCTCTCATCTATATACACTAGCAGTCCATCTAATTGCACGATGATCACAAGTATCGCTTGCATCTAGTTGACATTGAAGCTTCGAGCAGCAACAATTGAACGGAGGATTGGGCAAGGGGTTGGTGCGGCATCTGGGGTGTCGGCTACTCGGCTGCGCAGGCCAGCAGGATGGATTAGCAGCGCTAATTATCGGTGGCTGTTGCGGCCTGGAGTTCTGGCGACCAAAATGGGTCACCTGGCTCAGGCTAACCGCAAGTCAGAAGGAATCAGGCCAGGCAAGGGGTAGTTGATCTCAGGATAGCAACCAAAACAAGGTTCAAACTAACCTCAGGCTTGTCTTCACTCAGGCAAGTTCTTCTCAGGGCATCAACCAAACAGCCCCTAAACCTCTCTTAGTTGTGCCAAAGGAAATTATGGAAATTTTTAACACGGCTATAATGGCACAATATTGACAATGAAAAATACCCATATAAACACAATTTTGCCTAATTGTGTTACCTACTATAGAAAACTTGCGACTGTAGTTTCACACGAATAACGTTCTCGTGCAGGTGGGTGGGCCACCGGTCCATGCAACAGTAGCCGTGCCGGCCCGACACGGCCCAACACTTCCTTGGGCCGTTCTGCCCAAGACCTGGCACGGCACGGCCCGGCCCATTACAGTTGCCGTGCCATCAGCGGGCCCGAGCTATGCTGGGCCGGGCCGCCCATTTGGCCTGCTACACATAATGGGTAACATAGTAAATCTGAGCTAAAGGTGGAGTACTCGAGTATCTCTTCCCCCTTCCCTTCGCGTAAAAGAGAAAAAAAAATCTCCCGTCTCGTCGTCTCATCCGCTTCTTTCGCCATTCGCGGCTGAACAGGGGAGGGGAGGGGGAGGGTCGCCGATCTCCATCCGGCGAGCAAGGGGATCCTGGTGAGCATCCGCATCCTCTTTCTGATGATTCATCTCTCTCTCTCTCACCGGGGATGCTTCTGTCTTGGAATTTGCTTGCGTAAACCCTAGCTTCTCTTGTAGATCTGGAAGAAGCTCTTCTCTTAGTTCCAGAGCCTTTAACCTTAATACAAGTAACAGTTTGAGTTTGTTTGTTGTTCCCCCAAAAGTTTGGGGGGTTCAACTGAACCCCCATGTCCCAAGTTGGATCCGCCCCCTGTTATTTCACTCATTTCACTAATTTGTTTACATACAGTGGAATAATGTAGCATTTATTTTTGTTATGCACCGTTGTAGATCTGATGAGAATTCCTAATGCTTAAAATTGCCTGAATAGATATAACGATTAATTCTTGTTTTCAAGGAAGTTTCACCATCTATGGTGATAATGTCATTCTGTTATTACAGAGGTCAATGTGTTGTAGATAATAAGTGACATAGGTTGTATCATTTATTTCTTCTATGCTCAAGGTCCTGAACTGTTGTGCATGTTTCATTTGTTGCCCCCCGAGTCATATTATTTGGCGCGGGATACTTCAGTACTTTGGATCAAATAATCGTGATGGGAAGGAGTACATAGCCAAATGCTCTTTTCCCATTGTAATGCACGGGCAACTAACTAGGGTATGGACATTATCTCATGTTTGTGGTCATGATCAAATCGCTCATAAAACATGTGCATCTTAGATTATAGGCAGAAATGTATTCCAATAATGTTATTTGGAGTGAAATTCATCCCTCAACAGAAAAAAATTCTGCTAAATACTCTATTAACCTTTTCTGTGTGATACTCATGGGTATGTATGCATTGATTGCTAAACATTTTCACATGTGCATTTGACAGCTCAGGTGGCAGCAAACAGGAAGCTTTCTCCATTAGAAGGAATCAAACCGATCGAGAAGGATCAAACCAAGAAGAGAAAGGATCCTACATAGTATCTTGATACTGGTTACCTTGGCTAAGAGGACCGATCGTACTATTGGAGAGGAGGGGCTAAGTCGTCTCCACAACAGTGAACTGTCTCCGAGCCAAAACAGAACGAACGCCCAAACAGGCAAACCACGAACTCGAACCCTAGAAACCCTGACCATGGACTCGGGAGGCGGAGGAGGGGCATCGCACAAGGCAGCGTCGGGCTCTGCACCCTCGGGGGCGGCGGCCGCGAACCCCACGGCGATGCTCTCCGCCCTGATGAGCAAGCGCGCCAAGCTCCAGGAGGAGCTCCGCTCCATAGAGCGCCAGGTTAGGTCTTACACACTGTTCCCTGTCTCTTTTGCGCCTCTCTCTCTCTCTCTCTTGGAATTAGGGTTTTGTATAGGAGACCATGGATTTGTTGCATATATGTTCAGATGGCAAGGGCTTGCCATTGCTCAACATGCGAATGAGTGGTGCGAATTTACATTGCTGCGGATGGTTGTAAAATTGGAGTTGTGGATACCTGTAGTAGCCTGAATTTATTGTTCAATCTTTCTTAATGCCTTGGGAATGATAGAAATATGAACCTATTTGGAACCAATATGCTGGACCAGTGACCACTGATTGTCATTTCACAGAGAGGATCAGTTGTGACGAACAATTTGGATAGAATTAGGAGGAAGGGAAGAAAGTATCAATTTGATATTCTTGTCGAATATGACCATTCTATTTCTTGTATGTTGTTCTTTGTGCCTGAGAACACTTTGTTATTCTAAGGTAAAAAAGAAAATCAGTTAGCTACAACCTGAAAATTCCATCTGTTCTTCTATCCTCGAGTTAAAATGTGGAGTTTCTACTGTGTCTTAGTCAGAAATTATTCGCAGCAAGTATCAAATGAGCTACTTCTATTCATAGTATTTCAAAGTTACACTATGTGGTCCAAATTCCAATATATGTTTGTGATGGTGAATCTTGGTGTGTCATCCAAAATCATTAAATAAGAGGAGCGTTTGGTTTAGTAGAAACCATAATCCTAAAAAGGGAGGAAAGTGCTATTGCTCTCATATCAAGTATTTTAATGGCACTGATATGTGTGTTTTTTTTAGAAAGAACAAAACAGTCGCTCTTTAATACCAGGAACAACACATGATCTATAATGTCAACCATCTTTGCTTGACTTTAAGGGGAAGTTTTGTATATGATATTAAACACTCATAATTTAACAAAATATCTATTCATGCTTTTAACAGAATTGTTCTTATACAACCTGCAAATGATGTTTATGTCCATATGTTGCAGGTTTATGAAATGGAGACAACCTACCTACAAGAGTCTAATCAATTCGGAAGTGTGCTAAAGGGTTTTGAATCATTCTTATCATCGTCAAAGAACACTTCCAAGTAAGAAATCTTTATTTTCTTAGACTGCTACGCCCTTTACTATTTGGAGGTCTTCATTCATTTTCTTTTGACATCCCACTGTATACTTACCAGTTCGAAACCTTCAGAATTCATGCCACATTCTTTGCTTACTTTCAACTGTTGATTGAATGACCTACTGTCCTTCCCTTGAACTTTCTACCAGCCTCTGATCACATATAATTTAGCTAATATTCGGATGAATAATTTATAGTTATAGATATTGAACAAAAGATCCTCTGATCACATATAATTTACTAATGATCAGATGAATGATGTTGAACAAAAGATCCTCTGATCACATATAATTTACTAATGATCAGATGAACAAAAGATCCTCTGATCACTATAGTGGCAGTGGCAGGTATTATACAACAGATTCATAACCCAAAATATGCTATGATAGTGTTATGTCAGTTTATTGGCCAATTGCAGGGGTGCTCTATATGCACTATCTAGCATCACCAAGGGAGGGTTGGATTTATGATTACCATTGGCATAATGTTGCGTGTTCATTATTCTGCACAAGCAAATGTTTTATCATTTCTGTTCTGCTAATAGATCACACAGAATTAGTTATGACAGTTTCTATCTTATTATTTTCAGTCTCAAGCGCTCCAGGAAGTTCCAGGCTGATGAGAGGCTGTTCTCCCTGTCATCGGTTACATCTCCAGCGGTATGACTAATGATCCTAAATCCTAATGCACTGAAAAGCCCGTGCCCCTTTTTTAATCTTTTGGTTTGCTTTGATTGATGATTGTTATTCCCCCTGTGCTATACTGATATTTGTGAGTTTGCTAATACATACCATTATTTTCTATTCATTCCAGGTCGATGAACATATGGCTGGACGAGATGGTAAGTTCTCTTTCTTGTTTTCATTAAGCTGAAACCAGGAACAATTGAGACTCTGGGCTCAATACTAGCTGCATCCTGGCAGATGGAAGAGAATATGGATCAGGTCGTTCGAAAGGTGCAACCACTCCTGCAAACGGGCAGTAAGTGCTCAGATTACCTTTGTGGCAAAAAATGTGCTATCCTTATCAGCTTTACATACATCCTTGCAAGGGGCAGTGTTTGTCTAACACTTCTTTATATTAAAAAAAACAGTGTTTCTAGGAACAACCCTTTTAGCCCTTGTTTAGTTCCAAACTTTTTCTTCAAACTTCCAACTTTTCCATCACATCAAAACTTTCCTACACGCACAAACTTCCAACTTTTCCGTCACATTGTTCCAATTTCAACCAAACTTCCAATTTTAGCGTGAACTAAACACACCCTTAGTAGAATTGCCTAGTTCTGACCCCTCGTGTGTTTGGACAGAGGAAAACCAAAGAAGGGAGGTCGCCCTGGAGGGAGAGACGGCAAGAGAATACGGCCATCAAATGATCCAGATCTGGACGACGAAGAGGACTTCTAACTCGACATGTTGTAGGCCTAGCTCAGTGATGATTTAACCTTGCTAGACTCATGCTTCGAATCATTCTTTCTGTATTGTAATTTTTTTTTAATCTTGTGTTGCAATCCATGGCAAGCAAAGCCTTTTCCCCAGGGAGTAGCCTTGCTCATCTAGTCATCTTATCGTCGGCATTTGCCTGTGCTTGCATTTTCTTCCTTTTCAACCCACCCCGGCGTTGTCTGATTGTCTCCCGTTTTGTAAAGCAGTAGCAAGTTAATTAGACGGTGATAATTTCTGTTAACTCTACTGTAAACAACGTTGCTATAGATTCCAGACTCCAGTGAGACGAGGATGAGACTCCAGCGAGACGAGAATCTGGATTGGCCGATTCTTAGTACCAGAAAAAAATGTCTCATCCGATTATAGGTTTTTATATTTTGGAACGTGTAGTTGCTAGCACACCGCCGCGTTTGCCAGGGCCAAGGTGGAGTTGAATCTGTGAGTTCACCTGTTGCATTGCAAGACAAGCTGGAACTTGTAATCTCAACAATTAGATTGCAGGGTGCCTGAGGTTAATTTGTGTACACTTTTTTTTAGTGTAGCTAGCAAAGACTACAAGTAATGCTTTTTATATTAGTATAGGTGATTAATTAGCTCTAAGTACAATATGATGATGCAACACGCAGGCATGCATGTCTAAACAGCTGTGCTTAGCTTCAAGTATGGAAATAGCTTGAGCATCACTTCTTCAACAGGTTGCATTGACAAATACTCCCTCCGTCCCAAAATAAGTGCAGTTTTGCACTATTTATCTTCAATGTTTGATTATGTTTGATTTTTCGTCTTATTTAAAAAAAATTATGATTACTATTTTTATTGTTATTAGATGATAAAACATGAATAGTACTTTATGTGTGACTACTTTTAAAAAATAATTCATAAATTTTTCAAATAAAACGGACGGTCAAACATTGGACACTTTAGGATGGACGTAGTATTTTTCATTTTCAGAATCTTAAATGCATTTGTCCATGAAAACATCTTTCGTGGAAAAGATGTCAGAAGCTTTTATCTAAGAATCTCGCTGAATCATCATGTTTAAGTCGATCACATCAGCTGCATATATCTGTCAACAGAAGAACAGAACAGGTTGAAAAAAAAAAAGCTGAAGTTGATACTACCTCCGTTTCTAAATATTTGACACCGTTAACGTTTTAGCATATGTTTGACCGTTCGTCTTATTCAAAAACTTTTATGAAATATTTAAAACTATATATATACATATAAGTATATTTAACAATGAATGAAAAAAACTAATAATTACTTAAATTTTTTGAATAAGACGAACGGTCAAACATATTTAAAAAAGTCAACAGCGTCAAATATTTAGAATCGGAGAGAGTATTTTTTACTAGAAACATCAAGAACACTAGTAGCACTTATTCAGAATGAGCACTGTTGAAAATGTGGTGCTCTTATTGAGAATTTCACAAGAGCAACACGAACAGAGACTCTATCATACATCAACCTAGGAGACGCCCAGGTTGGCAGCTAATATCAAACAAGATGTTTAAAGCTTTGCTGCAGGACTCCGATGTACAAAGTACTGAAAACCATGGATCATCTAGGTACAGGGAAAAGAAGATAGAAGAAAGCACATCAGTACCATAAAAGTTACCACACACAGCAGAAGCATCGATCTATCTACACTCAGCCAAACCACCTGAAAGAACAGGGGGGGCAAGCAGCATGCCTTGCATCAAGCTTATCTGAACGGTCTACGGCACAACCTGGCATAGGTGCCTCTGGAGGAAGAATTCAGTCAGCAACTGTAACTAATCCTTGGTTTATTTTTCTAGTTCAGCATGTTGAGTCGCGAAAGAATTCGGTCGGTATTGAGGGTGGGCAGGGCTTCTTCGCCACAAATTTGTACTGCAGAAACAAAGGTACAGGAGGCAGCATTAGGAACAGTACAGATAACTGAAGAAATGGGGAGGATATGCAGTTTATACCTTATGTTGGGTATACTTCTCCCTGATTGCAGGAAGGTTACTCCCAGGACCAACACAGAAAAGGCGGTGCAATGCCTTAACGCAGTCGCTTAACTCTGACGACTTGTATTGTGTGTAGTGAGCAAGGGTGGAATTCTGCTTCCAATTTACAATGAGAAGCATATGTTAGCTCTTGTAATTTTTTTATTTGAATGTTGATATAAAAGATGTATGGAAAGTTCAATATGATGATGCCACCACGTACCCAAGGGTGCTTTGCTGGCTGCAGTATGAATTTGGCCAGGAAAATAGCTGATGCCGCTACTAGTGAAGGAGGGTAAGAAAGTAGATTGTACTCCAGCAGTGATAGCTCAGCAACATAATTGGCTAGGAACTCAAGATGCAATGCTGGATCCTGCACGATGAAAAGCTGTTAATGCAATGCAGCATATAAATAGTATGAAATTGCAGCAAGCAGGAGATGATTAAGAGAGCAGCACCTCATCAGATACTTGTGCAACACGGACAAATCTCCTGTTGTAGGCAAGAAGATAGTTATTAGAGTTCGATTCATTCCAGCATTATAGACATCGATGAGATGAAAGAGAATAGAACCTCAAAAAGCATTTTGCTGTAGGTGCAGTCATTTCAAACTTCAGGTAATTCAGGACAGAAGCTTCCATTTCCAAAACCTGACAATCTATGTGTTAGTCATGGAGATAAACATAGAAATGTTCACAGATATGCAAAACAAACCTCATCTCTGAAGTATGTGTTGTCAGTTATATAGCAGAATTCTTCTACTTGAGGTGCACATATCTCCTTGTATTTTCTGATATAGGAACAAGCCAAAATCAGTACACAAAACTCAGATGCAAACTGAGAAACACATTTAAAAAAATTGCTAATCAGATCTTACGCAGCAATAAGCATACAAGCAACTCCAAGTAATTGCAGTCTTTGACGATTGATCTCATTGCCAGAAAGATAACGGTCAATGTAGTTAACTGTCAGGTATAATGTATCAGGAACAAGACGATATTCTTCAGCGACCTGCACAAAGGAAAAGCACAAATAGAGTGGTAAGTAACGATTGTGGTCTTTAGGCTCCAATCAACTAAAAAAATTTGTTCGGTATAAAAGCTTACTTCCACAAGCCAGTCTATCAGGATCGCTCTCATGCTTGGGTTTACATCCTTTTGGAGTGTTTCCATAAAATCGGTTGATGGATGTTTCCTGGTCTGCTTCAAGTCAAATAGAAAATCACAATGTAAATATGAAATTCAACCTAGATTTGAAACCACTGTGCTCAGGTCAGATTAATTGTCATTTGATCAAACTGACTGCAGTAGTGCAGTCCATGTCACAGCAAAAATAATGAGCAATTGAAAAATACTTCAAGAGCATTGATTACAACAATTGAAATGTATCAATTCATCGGTTCAGTCAATGCTTTAAGAAGATAACTCCATTACAATTTCTCCATATTATACTGTGCTTCTACTGGTTCTATAGGGAATTTCAATATGATGGCCATTAAATGGAACCCACTATTCAGAAAAAAAAAAGTATTCAAGAATGTTTTATGTAAGGTGTTTACATAATATGCAGAACAAAACTACTGAAAATTGATGGTCACAAAGCATGTCTGGTAGATGATAAGGTGCACCAACAAAGCGAAAAGCAGAAAAGAACGGATTGTGGTGAAATGTGAAAAATATCCTGATAAATTACATTGGAATAATGCCTTATATCAGTGATGTGCACTTATTCTCTTCTTAATTTATGGTCTCATCAAAGTAAACTTTTTTTACTTGTGTTTCATATGGATGCAATCAAGTCTCAAATCATGAGGAAGCAAAACAAAGCCTTCCTATGAAAACATACTACAATAAGGTGCTCAAGGGAAATGTTTTCAGAGAAATAAGGTTTAGTCAAGAATGTATTACCTCGGCCTCGCGCAAGTGCATGTAGATATCAGAAGCAAGAGTAGCACACAACTGCGGATCCTCGTAGTTATTGTCAACATCACAAATTTGGTCGATTTCCATTGGGGAAGGAGCATCCTTCTTCCACTTAGTTTCTGCGAAACAAACAAGGGAAAAGATCAATCAACCATTCCAATAGAATGCACCATATAGCACAAATTTTTCTAGCTATAACTGTGCATTTCAGCAACCAAAACACACCTTCAACATCTCTATCCTCTGAGATACGCAGGTTCTCGTTTGCTCTTCGCTGCAAGGAACCTAGAACTGAGGAGGAATCCCCATTATCAATATACTCAAAGTCTGGGCTTTTCATTGAGTCGCACGTCGACATCGTCTCATCAACCGAAACTGAGGCCCTGTTTAGATGGGACTAAAACTTTTAAGTCCCTATCACATCGGATGTTTGAAAATTAATTATAAATATTAAACGTAGACTATTAATAAAACCCATCCATAATCTTGGACTAATTTGCGAGACGAATCTAATGAGCCTAATTAATCCATGATTAGCCTATGTGATGCTACAGTAAACATTCTCTAATTATAGATTAATTAGGCTTAAAAAATTTGTCTCGTGAATTAGCTTTTATTTATGTAATTAGTTTTGTAAGTAGTCTATATTTAATACTCTAAATTAGTGTCTAAAGACAGGGACTTAAGTTAAGTCCCTGGAAGTAAACACCACCTGAATCTCCTGAATGCATAGGGGAGACGAAGCTGCTGCAGGGTACAGTGACAGGTGCAGGTGCAGCAGTTGGAACAATTCTAAGCACTTTAGGAGGAAGAACTGACTCCTTCTGTGGGGCGCTCTCATGGCGGGATATGGCCGAAGCTGGCTTGGTGGAAGCTGATTTCACCGCCGAGACCCGATTCGTGCCCACATTGCGGCCACTGGCCAAAGATCCCTTCTTCACAGGTGCAGCCCAGGTAGCTGAATTAAATTTCTGCAGGAGGATTGAAGACAAGAAATCAATTTAGAACTTATATTTCAATCTGTTCATTTGGGATTCCAGACCACAAGCATGAAAAGGAACAAATATTTATTAGAAACATTAGCAGCACGCAAGTATCATATTACCAATAGAAGATTCCAAAGCAAGCAAACATACAAAACACTTAGCGAATACCAAGAAAGCTTTTATTTTGAACTTCTGAAGGTGCCAATAAACCCTCAAGTGAATTTAGCCTGTTGACCTGGATGCTCCCCAAGAAATCAATCAATCAATTAACCATGAAAAGAAACCAGAAAATCAGCAAGAAAAATCTTGTGGATTGGAATAGGAGAATCCTCAAAATCAGCAAGGAAGAATGTGGCAGAGGTCCAAATTTGAATGTGAAGAGCACTGAAAAACCAAAAGGCAAGAATATATTGGGGATTGGAAGAGGAGAATCGTTTGTAGGCTAACCAAGGAGAAATTGAAGAAATGAAAATCTTGTTGTTGGCTGAAAGAAAGAACTCAAGAAGACGAATTCAAGAAACACTATTTATATTTGCTTGAAACCAACAGATCGAGGCGTATGTCCTCCACAAACAAGATGGAAAAAAACCAAAAAAGAAAAAAATCATACACAGATCGCTTCGGCCATTTCCGCATCAACAGCGACTCACTTGTGCCCCAAGAGGAACCAAGAAGCAAAAAAAAAAAAAAAAAAAGCCACCCCCAAACCATTCCAACCACCTCACACACCAAAAGATCTCCACCCAAACCGCGCAAAGCAAAGAACAAATCTTGGAGAGAAAAAAAAAGGAAAAAAGAAGAAGAAGAAGCAGCAGCAAGCGATCCTTCACGTACCGCATTGTTGGCGGCGGCGGCAACGTTGGTGATGTTACCGAGCGCGACGCGCTTCTTGGCCGCCGCGGCGCCCGCGGCCGCCTTCCCTCCTCCCTCCCCCGCCGCGGGCCGCTTCGCCGCCGACGACGACGACGAGCGGCGGGAGGCTAGGCTGCTCGACATCGGCCGACGGCAACCACCACCTGAACCCTCCTCCTCCTGCTGCTGCTGCGAGGGTTGCGAGGGCGGCGGCGGCCGGCGGGGATCAGAGGCGGAGCAGGGCGAGGGCTTGGATCCTTCCCTTCCCGACAGAGGAGGGGAGAGCCGGAGAGGAGAGGACTCAGAGGAGCGGAGGAGGAGAAGAGAGAAAATGGCGACGACTCTTTCGATTATTTCCAGTTTTTGGGGAAACTATTCTAATCCCTCGAGGATGTTCCCTCGTTTGCTCAAAAACCATCTAAACGGTTATGAAAAATACTGAAAAAATTTGACAACATTCATACAACACATATATACAACTCTACAAAATCTTAATTCCAAACTCAACTCACACGTCGAGATATAAAAAGACAAATTCAGCGTATGAATAGTAGCGTACTGTTTATATCTAAATTTGTCTTCTTTTGTTTCTCGATGTGTAGATCGAATTTGAACATGAATTTTGGTGGACTAGTAGGTATCATTATACTCTACATTGTTAATTTTTTTCAGAATTTTTCATAACTATTTGTATCGAATTTGGAAGAAAAAGGTATACGAGGGGATATCCCTCGAGGGATTAGAATCCACTCCCCAGTTTTTGGGCCGTTACAGTTGTTCAAATTTCAAATAGTAGTAGCAACTTGTTTTAGTTATTCGACCGTTTTATCTGTCTTTCTTTTTTTCATGTCGTCGTGGTTGGGTTATTACGTTTTCGACCGTTATTCATAAACAGAACGGATGTAGAGCTAAATTAATTTCGTGTTACTACTTCTGTCATAGAAGATGACGGATTTTAACTTTGTATTCCCTCCGTACTAAAATATAAAAAATATAAGTATTTTTTAAGTATAGTGTCAAGTCCTTTGATTATTAATAAGAAAAAATAAATTAAAAAAGATCAATCTAAAAAAAATGATATTACTAGATTTAGCATTAAACAAACTATCACAGTATGTAACTCTTTTTATTTAAAATATTTTACTTTTATGAATATCGTTTATCAATGTAGCATCTTTAAAACCGTGTCGAAGTCAAAAACAAAAAAAAAAGGCTTATATTTTGATATGGAGGAAGTATTCTTTATCGTATTTTCCTACTTATCTATCTCATTTTTCACATGTGTGCTTTTCAAACGGTTAAACGGTGCGTTTTTTTTTAAAACGTATGTATGTATGAAAGTTATTTGAATAATCATGTTAACTCATTTTTAAGAAATAACTAATACTTAATTAATTATGCATTAATGAACCGTTTCGTTTTACGTGCTCAAAGGGTTAGTTTCTAACACTAATAATCGAACACGGCCTTTGCCGCTTAGAGGAATTTTAATAGTATATAGCCAACTACTAGCTCCAAATTATTTATAGATAATCTAATAGCCAAATTATACAATAGTTAACTACAAATATATAGTACATCATTAATTACTGCTCCCACTTGTCATACACACGTAGCATTTAGGAGTCCGTGCTACAGCTAGCTACAAATCTGCAGCCTGCTTCTTTTCTATCTCCTCTCTTTATGTTCACCACATAAGCTTGTAGCCGACTTATAGTCTATTATTGTACATGCTATTAGATTTTTATATTTGAACTTGGAATGTAGTATCCAAAATAACTTTGGGGGTGTTTAGATCCAGGAGTGTAAAGTTTTTGCGTTTCACATCGGGTATTATATAGGGTGTCGCATGGGGTGTTCGGGCACTAATAAAAAAACTAATTGTAGTATCCGTCAGTAAACCGCGAGACTAATTTATTAAACCTAATTAATCCGTCATTAACAGATGTTTATTATAGCACCACATTGTCAAAATCATGGAGCAATTAGGCTTAAAAGATTCGTCTCGCAAATTAGTCGCAATCTGTGTAATTAGTTATTTTTTTAGCTTATATTTAATACTTCAAACGTTCGATGTGATAGGGTGTAACATTTTTGTGCAGGAAACATGACCTTTGTTTTTAAGACCAGATGGAGCACTTTGATAGGCCGTTTGGGAGTTTGGAACTTGTGCAAAACGGTGTGTTTTAAAAATTAAAACCATTGCTCTCGTACATACCAGATATTTATAACTAACGGTCGAGAAGTTCAAAATGTGTCCAAAGGTTGAGAAGTTTAAAATGTATCCAAATCAACATATTTTCAATATTTGAGGGAGTAACGTGATATAAGACCATATATTTATAACTAATGGCCGATAAGTTTAAAATGTGTCTAACGGTCGAAAAGTTTAAAACAGGTCCGAAGTCCGAACCTCGTGTTTCAGGATATCTACAACGAATGCTTGGGTCGGGACGTAAGGTTAAACCTCTCTTAGTTGTGCCAAAGGAAATTATGGAAATTTTTAACACGGCTATAATAGCACAATATTGACAATGAAAAATACCCATATAAACACAATTTTGCCTAATTGTGTTACCTACTATAGAAAACTTGCGACTGTAGTTTCACACGAATAACGTTCTCTTGCAGGTGGGTGGGCCACCGGTCCATGCAACAGTAGCCGTGCCGGCCCGACACGGCCCAACACTTCCTTGGGCCGTTCTGCCCAAGACCTGGCACGGCACGGCCCGGCCCATTACAGTTGCCGTGCCATCAGCGGGTCCGAGCTATGCTGGGCCGGGCCGCCCATTTGGCCTGCTACTCATAATGGGTAACATAGTAAATCTGAGCTAAAGGTGGAGTACTCGAGTATCTCTTCCCCCTTCCCTTCGCGTAAAAGAGAAAAAAAATCTCCCGTCTCGTCGTCTCATCCGCTTCTTGCGCCATTCGCGGCTGAACAGGGGAGGGGAGGGGGAGGGTCGCCGATCTCCATCCGGCGAGCAAGGGGATCCTGGTGAGCATCCGCATCCTCTTTCTGATGATTCATCTCTCTCTCTCTCTCTCTCACCGGGGATGCTTCTGTCTTGGAATTTGCTTGCCTAAACCCTAGCTTCTCTTGTAGATCTGGAGGAAGCTCTTCTCTTAGTTCCAGAGCCTTTAACCTTAATAAAAGTAACAGTTTGAGTTTGTTTGTTGTTCCCCCAAAAGTTTGGGGGGGTTCAACTGAACCCCCATGTCCCAAGTTGGATCTGCCCCCTGTTATTTCACTCATTTCACTAATTTGTTTACATACAGTGGAATAATGTAGCATTTATTTTTGTTATGCACCGTTGTAGATCTGATGAGAATTCGTAATGCTTAAAATTGCCTGAATAGATATAACGATTAATTCTTGTTTTCAAGGAAGTTTCACCATCTATGGTGATAATGTCATTCTGTTATTACAGAGGTCAATGTGTTGTAGATAATAAGTGACATAGGTTGTATCATTTATTTCTTCTATGCTCAAGGTCCTGAACTGTTGTGCATGTTTCATTTGTTGCCCCCCGAGTCATATTATTTGGCGCGGGATACTTCAGTACTTTGGATCAAATAATCGTGATGGGAAGGAGTACATGCAAATCTAACAACGTGGATTGGCTGTGTAACATTACAAAATGTCCGGGAACCCCGATCATACGAACAACTAATTCAATACAATGTGGTTAAAGGAAGTTATATTGGCAGAGGCGTATCAAATATGAACGTTGTGCAGAGAGATCGACATATCTATTAAAAAAATGAATGGATTGAAGGATGGTAAGAAGATTCATGCGTACCTTTCACTTGCCACACCTGAATCACCAAGCACCCAATGAAATCAACTCGAGGATCTTCAGGTGTGTGTGCATAGCACAAACCTAAATAGAACAGAGGGACGAAAGCCAATAAGAAAAATAAAAAAAATAGTAAGAAAAAGGGGTCGCCAGTTCAGTTCACAAGATCAAAGCAGGGTCTTACCCTTGATTCTGCCACCGGTGATGTCTTTCCTCAAAGCCTTCACACAGAAGAAGAGGAAGAGGAAGGAGTCTAGCCTCTGGAGACTGGAGTAGTGGATGGGTTAGTGATTAAAAGAGCAAACGAACTGCCTCACTGCTCCTGGTGATAGGGAACGTGACCAAATAATCGGGGAGATGCTCCTTAATTTTCTCAACAATCTTTCAAATAGCGGGCACATAGTTGTGAGCATAAAGCTCACACCACGTCCCTGCAGATCCAAAATTATGCTTCGAGCTCCGGATGCAAAAGCAAAATTTTGGCAACCGCAGCTCGAAGGGGCATTTGTTTACACGGATTTTCGCTCGTGTCCTAAATATAATTTGTTAAATTATAAATTGATGTATTATCTCAAATATAGTGCGTACAATATATATATAATAATCAATAAGAATTTTATCAACCGCGAAGCAAACGGACGGATTGCAAAATGGGCCTTAGAACTGATGTCCTTGGACATATCGTTCAAGCCACGAACTTCGATGAAGTCCCAAGCTTTAGCCGACTTTGTTGCCAAGTGGACCGAGTGCCAAGAGGACACCCCCGAGGAAAAGATGGAGTACTGGACTATGCATTTTGACGGGTCAAAGAGACTTTCGGGCACTGGGGCCGGAGTTGTTTTAATTTCCCCAACTGGAGAAAGATTGAGCTATGTGCTATGGATACATTTTTCTGCATCTCACAATGTCGCGGAGTACGAGGCGCTCCTCCACGGGCTACGGATCGCAATCTCTTTGGGCATCAGACGTCTGATAGTTCGCGGAGATTCACAGTTAGTTTGTTAACCAAGTTATGAAAGAGTGGTCCTGCCTCGATGACAACATGATGGCTTATCGACAAGAGGTACGCAAATTGGAGGACAAATTCGATGGACTCGAACTCACCCATGTTTTTCGGCACAATAACGAAGCAACCGACAGACTAGCGAATTTTGGATCCAAACACGAAGCGGCCCCTTCTGATGTATTCGTCGAACATCTTTATGAGCCAACCGTACCCAAGAGAGAAACAGCTGAAGCCGCGGACACTCAAGACATAGCTATGGTCGAAGCTGACTGGAGAGAGCCCCTCATACGGTTTCAGACCTCCCAAGAACTCCCTCAAGATAAAGACGAAGCTGAGCGGATTTCCAGGCGCAGCAGGCTTTACATCATTCATGAGGCCAATTTGTACAAGAAAAGTCCATCAAGAATTCTGCAACGCTGCGTATCTGTTAACAACCGAATTTGGTAAGTATTCGTATCAGGAAAGGGGATTTGGTCAAAGAAGAGTTGGAGGCGGAGATCGAGTTCTGGAACAGAGCAAGAATCGGCTGGAGTCTAGATCGGCTATAG